ATATAAGTTGTAAAAAATTTTGAGAGGGAAAAATGTTTTCCTGCAAACAATCCCATTTTTAATAATAATTTTAAAAAAATATTTCCACTGCTCTCCCTATGTAACTCCAATTATTTAATGAATCTAGAGATGAATGTACAGTGATAGGCAACATTTTATTAAAAAAGCAGAGGATTTTACTGTATTTTCTCTGCTTTTGACTAATTTATCTCAACCACACACACAGGGCCTGGCACTGCATCTTCTCCCTTTATTCGCAATGGCCTTCAAGGCCATCAGATTCCACACTCAATTCCCTTCTAATTAGTTCACAATATTTAAGCACCTGTAAAAGTAAGTTGTAACTTCTAAACCTTTCAAAGTCTTAAGGAAAAGCTTTGAGATGGTTCATTTGTGTGTGTAAAGTATGTTGGATTTTTTTAAGTAGAAATGTTTGCAATACATAGAATATTGAAAGGTACCTTTTTTTTCCATTCCCATTTTTGGCCAACAGTCACAATTTCTTCAAAAGTGTTTATTTCACAAATTATTGGTTTTTTTTAATCCACAGCTGAATATTACAGTGACTATTACAAGCATCATTCTATAAACAAAGGTGTAGTTTACAGATTTGTTCAAAATGGAAAAATATTTTATAAGAAGTAGTATTTCGTCTACAGCATTCACTCCTGTGGATCATTCAACTTCTTCGAGAGCAGCGATACCTTCTGCTTCTTAATGTAATGAGACTTTACAACACGTCCCAAAAAATCCCCAAACAAAATAAGACATTGCACTGTAGTAGCACTTCTTTGATATTGTTGTTTTTTTTTTTCTAACTTCAACATAATTTGAAAGGTTTTGCCCACTGGCATTTACATTTTGAAATAATTTGTATACTCATTGGAGAAATACATCATCTGGATTGCTTTACTGAACATCTACATCTTGCTAGAACTTCTTTCAGGAAAAAATATAACAACTTGTAACTGAAATATATGTCAAACAATAAAGGTTCATGGCAGTTCATGCAATCATTTTAATAAGACTATAGTATTTATATGCAATGGCAAAAATGCTAATTTTTGGATTAGATATGGTCTGAAAGACTTAAGTTTGCACAGTTTCGTTCCTTTATTGTTGCAAATCAAGGACCTGTCGTTTCAAGTGCATCTTTGTCACTTGTATCTTTCACAAACCAGACAAACACATTTTGCAAAGACTTTAGGTGGTGTTGCAATTTCAGTGTTTCAGTTGCAGTACGAGGAAAGGCAGCCTCTGCATAAACTCTGCAACACACGCACCTGTTGTTACTTTTTCACTCCTACAAGAGGTCTTTTTAGATGCAGTGGAGTAGGAGAAAAAAAATGTTTATAACGCTGGATTGCACAAATTCAGTCTTGACATTCTTTCCCACAGTCAACAACAGCTTTACCAGCCAAAAGATAAGCAACCTCAGCT